GGGTGTCTAAGTAGACTAGGGATGCGAAGACTTCGTCACTTCTAACGAGGAATAGGAAAAAGAGAGAAAAAGGTAAAAACAATTCAATAAAAAAAACAATTCCTTTTTGGTTGAGATAATTTTTTTTTTTTCAATTGAATGTGGTTATCAAGAAGGTAAACAATATTATTAAATCTCTGTTTTAGACAAAAGAATGCAATAATAATGTTGATATCTCTTTTCTTAGTCTGACAGGATTGACACCGTACACCTTACAGTTGTGCCGCTCACCAGGGAGGCTGGGAAGGCGACAGTTGTTCAACACTTATCTCTATTCAATTGATCTCAGCGTTGGATGAGATGCTAAAATTTGGATTGCGTTTCCAAATGTAGGGAGGTTAGGAAGAACGAAGGAGGGGTTAATTACAATCAAATTCATAAGGATTATTCGTCTTTTTCAACAAGATTATGTATTTCATTCACATAGAATTGATTGATGGTTCTTACAGGTCCCTACGCATGTGAAGAGTAAAGAGGAAAGAAAGCAGGAGAGAACAGGAGAAAAGGGAAGGAGACTTCAGTAAACTGAGTGGATCGTGTCCACTAGCAGGCTCTGATGCTGTTATGCTCAACTACGAGTAGAATAGTGTTGTTCTTAGTTGCTGCACAACTAATCAAACAAAATAAAATTTGAGTGAAAGAAAGTTGTCTTTCTAATTTATTTGAACTCGTAGTGAGGGATAACACTGTCTCCTATTAGGGCTTGGGTGTGTCGTTGCCAAGCTAGGATATACATAGGAAAGAGAATGGTAAGTAAAGTAAAATTAAAAGGTAATAAATGGGCAAAATGAGTAAAAAGGAAATTAAATAAAGAAGGAAATCAGTAAATAAAACAATAATGGCTAAGTGTATAACCACAGGAAGAAAAGGGGTAAAACGCAATAAAATAATGAGTAAGTATAAGTCTGAATAGAATTTATTGATAGGTAATAAAATCAATTAGGTAGAATAAGTTTATTAAACTTTAAAAGTTCAAGGCTTATTCGTACCTAAGATGATTAGGCATAAGAGGGAATACTAGAAATAATGATCATATGAAATGATCGGAGGGGAACATTTGAATGATTCCAAATAAATTTAAAGTTTTAATTAAATTAGAATTTGGCACAATTAATAATTGTGAGTCAGTATCTCCCTTTCTAGTAAAATAAGATAAAGTGGTAAGAAGTGAGAAAAGGGAGGAATAAGAGAGAGAAAGAGACCAACAGGTGTATTAGTTTAGATGTTTAAAGGGTTAAATCACTTTATCGTTGCCCAAACAGACATTGCATTCAACCACTGGATGTTAATGCTAACTGCTAACCTTTGAGGCTAAAGGCTTTAGCATAGACTTCAATGTAAACAACTGTTTCGTTAGCTTAGCCACCCGTGGGGTTTGTTTACAATAGCGTCGCCGTGCTGCGCGTGCGCAGTTCAGAGTTGCTTCGGAAGTAGGTTCAGACTTCCGTGTCACGATCGTAACTATGGCAACCAACACACGCTCTAGTGGCTAGCATGTGAATAGTTGCATTACAAGTACAGTTAAGCATATTACACGAAATATCGGCGCATTTCAACACTGTACAAATAACAACACCGCTTTGGTTGGTTTTACGATGCCATTCTGTGAATGTATGAAGACCAGAGATTAAGAGGTCTGTAAGGAATTTCAGAAAGTCTGTTCTTTGTCTCCTAGGTGGGGGGGAAAGTCAATCCGAAGAGCTTGTGATCACTATCACATGTTTCCATGAGACGGTCACGCTGTGCATCTCTTTTGACCATTATTCTTGATAACTTGCCCCAAAATTGACAATCTCCTTGGAATTGTCAATAAGTGTTCTTTTGTGTTAATGTTGAAAACTGTTCTGTGACAGAGTGGTTTAGGCTTGCTTCAGACTGGCTAATGCTGGGTCTGATTTATGACATCCTGTTGTCTTGGGCCTCTTGTGGAATGTTTTGACTCCTCGTGCCTCAATCATGTTTTTGACCAAATCTTAGATTGTCTGATTCGGTCTGATATTCTACAGCGTCATCGCGCATCTGGTTAAAAACGAAGCTTAGAATCGATCCAGAATTGTTGGAGAGAGAATCGCGATGCATCGATGGATCGATTTTTTCTCCCACCCCTACCTTTTAGACATGAAGGCCATAGTGTTGAGACGACATGACATGCTGAATACTGCTCATGCTCATTGCTCAATAGTCTTATTTTTGGACACTTTAAGTTTACAGAGTAAAATAATATTGAATCACAAATAAAGCAGCAAAGCACATTTTTAGAATGGCATCTAGAAATCAAAAGCATTTGCGCAATGCTGAACTCATGTCAAAATAAGTCCAAGACAAGTGTTCCATCAGCCACAAAACAAATAAAATGTTACTTAGTGTCTTTTCGAAGAGAATAAGCTTCAGAATGAATGAATGAAAATTTCTTCCAGAATAGGCTTTAAAATGAATGAATGAATTAATGAATACTTCAAAGATTAGGCTTAAAAAAAATAAATAAATAAAAGGACATCCGAAGGAGTTTATTAGTGTATTTTAAACAAAACAAAAGCAAAACATAAAAATAAAATAAAATAAAAATAAGGGTACCATTATTACTTTTCCCCCTCCCTTTGGTAGTTCAGTAGAGTGATATTAATAGAGAACCATTACATGACCTTTACCAAGAAAACAGACATTCAGCTGTTCTTTACAAGAATCACTGAAGGCATGCATTTCTATATTGGGCAGATGTAATAAATTATTTCAGAGCTGTGCTTAATAGCTTCTGGTTTTTTTCTAAGAGCCATTATAATCAGCACAGTCCCTGCAGACATTATCCTCAAGTCACATCCTTCTCCCTGATGTACCACGAAATCTCTGGAGAGAGACTAACAGATGGGAAGTGTTTATGCTCCCTCTTAATCAAATTAAACACACTTTAATTTTCTTAATCATGGATTAAGCATCTGAAAGGCCTCTGTGCGATATCTTTATTATAAAATTTTGGTTGAATTTTTTGATTAGTGAATGCACTGAAGTGTTGAATTATGGTAAATTGGGGTTTGGTAAATCGCGGTATCCCTTTTTAGTTCCTCGGTCTCGCTGATAATCCCTCCTCTTTCAGTGCTCGGAGTCGAGCTTTCCTAGCCCACTGCACTCTAGTGTCCCTCCTTCCTCATGTTTGCAGTCGATCTCTCGTGTTGTTCAGACATCTCTTCTATCTGCCTTCTCATGGAAACTCTTGACCCTGCTTTTGTGCTGGCTCTAGAGCATTCAATTACTGCAAAACCTCTAATTTCTGATCTTACACAGCTCAATTGTTCATCCCAGAGTGTAGTGCCCACAGCACAGTTCCTCGAGGTCAAACATTGAAAAAGTCTGCTGAACACAGCAGATAAGAGTGAGTTCTTTCTACATTGAATAAGTTAGTTCAACCATGAACTTGAAAATAAGAAGGCTAGTTCTACATTTGTACTCAATTCAAGCATATAGAAATGAATACTCTATCTTACAAGTTAAAATTACTTAGGATAGTTATATTTACGGTGAATCCTTGACTTCAGATCTCATCGTAGAAGAATGTTGCAAAGGAATAAAATCAAGTAAAATACACTTAACCTTACAATGCTGGCATTAACAGTTTATAAGAGATATGAATAATTAATAAGGTTGCATGTTTTCGCTGTATTGTTTACTTTGTTATTGTTGAATTTGTTGTTACATTTTGTGGTAACACTTTACAATAAGGTTAAATTAGTAAATGTTAGTTAATGTATTCACTAACATGAATGAACAATGAACAATACATTACAGCATTTATTAATCTTTGTTAATATTAATTAATGAAAATACAGTCGTTTATTGTTAGTTCATGTTATTTCACAGTGCATTAAATAATGTTAACAAGCACAACTTCTGATTTTAATAATGCATTAGTAAGTATTGAAATTCAGATTAACTAAGATGAATAAATGCTGTAGAAGTATTGTTCATTAGTTCATGTTAACTAAAGTAGTTAACTAATGAAACTTATTGTAAAGTGTTACCTATTTGGTAACTGTTACCAAGTTTCATCACATCAGATTTGTAGGTAAAGTTTACAACACTTTACAATAATTTTCCATTTGTTAATTAGATAACTAATTATATAATAAGTGATTGAACATTAAATACAATCATTAACATGGATTTAGAAAAAAACTTCCAAGGCATTTATTAATTCTTACGTAATTCACTAACACATTATTAAAATCAAACATTGTATCCGTTAACAGTATTTAATGGACTTGAGATAGCACTAACACTAGTAGTATTTTTATTTACTAACATTAACAAAGAATAATAAAAACCAAGACATGTATTGCTCATTGTTAGTTAATGCATTAACCAGTGGAATTTTATTGACTGTTAATTTATTCACTCACTTTTAATTTTATATTATTGGTGTAATGTGGGGTTTGGGTTTTGGGTTTTGTTTCATGTTCATGTCTTTTATTTTGTAATTGGTTCACCCTGTTAGTGTCATGCTTCCCTTGCCCTCTTGTCTTCATGCTATTGGTTCCTCTGTTCATTGTGTCATGTTCTGGTTGTAGTCTTAGTCATGTGTCTTGTTCCCCATTGGTTTGTTCATGTCATGTGACCCTCTTGTCTGCTATAAGTAGCCATCATGTTCCCATTGTGCCTTGTCGTGTATTGATGTTGTAACCCGCTGTCGGTGAGTCTAGTCTGTTCATGCCTCGTCAAGTCTGTTCATGTCTAGTCAAGTCAAGTCAAGTCAAGTCAGTTCATGTCAAGTCAAGTCTGATGTTAGGATCACACTGTAAATAAATTGCACTTGGGTTCTTCACTACGATCGCCTTCAGTGGATGAATCGTTACAATTGGAGAATAAAAAAACTTTTAATTTGAATCTTGTAATTTCTTCAGTGTAATCATCAAGACAACAGACCAAAAAGTATAATTTACCATCTTCGGCAAGTTTGTGCATACAGACAGTAAAATTCATATGTATAACATTAAGTAAAACATTATGTCATAACATGGAATAAAGCAAGTGAGAAAAGTACAATACATGAATGTTGCATAGATGGACATGACCAACTTTAAAAATATATTTCAAACAGATCATTTTGAGAGCTAATTGCATGCCGTCTTGTCTGTTACAAAATAAACGACAACAACAATGCAAATTAAACTTGCAAAAAGTGAAATCATGCAAGCTTACAAATGATCAAAGCCCAGAACACCCACATTCTGATAAACTAGTAGAGTGCAAAACTGGCACATCCAGACATCACAACGAGCCAATACAAATCCACTGTTCACTCAGACAGCTTCCCTGATTATAATGAGGATAAAAGGAACCATTTCTTTGCAGTACAGTCTTAGTCATAAACCTTTATTCCATTTTTCTACACCGAGTTCCTTGGAAATATTTACTTTAATTTCTAATTCATCAAATGAGTACACATAAAAAAATTCCCTTAATATTTCATGCTCCAACTATCTTATTCAGTCTAGAAATTCAGAAGCAAACCTATTTGATTAAGAAACAGGATCTACCAAAGTTCTTCCTCATTTATTCCCAAGATAGAAGCTTTAATCTGCCGTTTGATATTTCTAAGCAGCAGCACCTGCTTTCTTCAGCACTTATTTTGCAACTTCTTCTGAAAAAACCCAGACACATGCAAATAAAAAGACCCTAAATAAAGAAAGACAGAGAAAACGATTTCTTTCAGCGTCTACCCCCGACTC